GAAAGGGCACAGAGGTCCGGGCCCCCAGGGCGCACCCCCCTCCAGGCCAAGGCCCGACAGGTCCAGAGGCCCCGAGCCCCAGCAGGCAGTCACCAGGCCAGGCCGGCACACACCCCAGCGCCCAGCCCCAGACCCCGGGAACCCCCAGCACGCCGGCAGCCAGCCGCACACCCCACCGGGGGGCCGAGTAGCAGCGGGCCCCCAGATAAACCAGCAGTAGGGGCAGCCCAGACCGCAGCCTGACAAATACCCAAACATACACAATCGCACCATCCCACCCTCATCCTCACCCCCACTCAGCATAAAATAATCTAAATGCAGCAGCCACAAGTTGTATTTAGCACCCAAACAGTGGGGAAAATAAAATTGGCAGAAAAAATACATAAATATACAAAAAAGTGTCAATTTGTAGTTAAATAACTAAAACAGACAAAATTTTAAGTAAAATAGTTCAAAAGGAGCTGGAAGTTGTTCAGCATAATGAAGCATAATGAGCTTAAGGTTGCAGAACTTGGCAGAAAAAAAGTTATATTAGCTACAAAAAACTGTATTTAGCTTAAAATTAGCTTAAGTTGCAGCAAATAAATGCAAATAGCAGAATGCACCTGAGCAGAATTAGCACAAATTTGCGGAAAAAAAGCACAAAAAAGTAGAAAAAAGCAAAAGAATAGCAGAAAGAAGCTCAATTTTAGCCGAAATTGCAGAAAATAGCTAAAATTAGCAAAAACATAGCAAAAAAAATCAAGACAGGGGAGTTATAGAGCAGTAGCAGACCAAAAGTTGTAAGGATCTGTGAATATTTAGAAACATTTTAAAGGATTTTAAGGATGTTAAAAACAGCTCCATTCATTTTCAGTGGCTAAAAAAGTGAAATAGCTGAAAAAGTAAAAACAGCTGAAATACCAAAAGTCTTAGCAGGGTTGTCATAAATGAGCTGAACATTTTGATGGATGAGTTGTTGAAGTTGCACAAAACTTGTGGGACGAGTTAGATGCCAAAAATCATGCAGAAGAAAAAAAGATCTCACTAGTGTGAGTTCAGTGAAGCATTCACACAAATATTGTAACAAAAACATCATCACAGCCTCCTGTCAATGTGTAAAAATGAAAATGTTTGTTTAGTTTCTTAACTGACTGCAGTCAATCTGTATTTTGTTCGTTTCCCTTCATGCAGGATGCTTTGCTTGTGGGATGGAGAATGGGTTTCGTGTTTACAACACAGATCCTCTCAAAGAAAAAGAGAAGCAAGGTAACAAAAACCAAACGCAACAACATTAAGTAGTACATGACAAATTTTCTGCCCATGTTCATGCACACAATTTGTTTGTCTAATAGTGTAACTTTGTTGTTTTTTGGAAATACACCAAATCAAAGTACCTCATATCTCCAATCTATTAAGAGTGTTTTTGTCATGTTTAAGAATGTTTTTAATGAACAGTCAGATACTGCAGATTAGTCCAGTTGATTTAAAGAAGAACCTAAGGAGTGTCTAATTAGTAGGCCTCTGCAGACCTTGATGGCGTACTGAAGAGGCCTGCTAATGAAGCACTACTAAGGTTCAGCTGTGTTAAACCAGGGCAGCACCTAAAACATGCAGAACACCGGCCCTTGAGGACAGACTTTGGACACCACTGATGAAGACATTAGGGCTTTAAACAGTCCTTGGACATATTCTTCATGTTACAACTCTGTGGTGCACAAGTTGATGGTGCTGGGGACGACATGGGCCAAGGTCGACGTGCAAACGGGTTTGGACCTTGGTTTATCTGCTTCACCGTTCTAATTCTTTTTTTGTTTCTCTACATGTGAACCAGTTACTTTCAAATATAGTGCTGATATAGATCTGCTGAATATCAGGCAGCTAATTGCCATCAGGAATTATGCCTGTTTTTTTTAATTTTCCAACAACATTCAGGCATTGCAAGCAGTGTGGCTTCTCTTCTCAGCTGCCTTAATGCAGATGGATATGCAGAGGAGGAAAGAGCGCTTGTGAAGCTCTGAAAACACAAACTACACATTTCACTACCAAGTATTGAATGGCAAATATTCGCTCCATAAACTACAAACCACACCAGTTTGTTGGTTGCATACAGACCTGAAGCCTCTCTTTAGACCACCTTTTCACAGTACGGACCACAGGTTTGTGATACTTCAGCTTGTGTTTGGTAGGTTGTTGTTTTGTTGCTTTGGCACATGAATTAAATGAATGAGTGATTGGCAGACTTCTGCAGAACTTAAAGACTTGCTGAAGAGGAGGGAAACAACTAAAACATGCAGGATATGAGTCCTTGAGGACCAGAATTAAGAACCTCTGCTCTCCAGAGCTGCCTAAATACAGACAGCAGGTTCCCTGTCCCATCAGGTAGAGTAACGTATTCAATCACTGCTGCTCACTGTGTTAAACAGTGCATATTGTTTTGTCCCCCATGCTGTCCTGGGCCCCTCTGACCACAGTTTAACACATCTTCTCCTGTCTTACAAACACAAGTTGAAGTGTGCCAGACCTGTGGTCAGTACTAAAAGGTGGTCTAATGAAGCCAAAGAGAGGTTTCAGGTCTGTATGGAATGGACAAAACTGGTGTGTTTGATGAACTACGAGCAACTTGGATGAATACACCGACACTGTGTCATCTTATATCAGGATATATCAATCAATCAATCAATCAATCAATCAATAACCTTTATTTAACCAGGTAGCAAACCCATTGAGATCAGGATCTCTTTTACGAGGGTGACCTGGTCAAGAGGTCCGCACGACACGTTACAGAGTGTATCAGACTTAAGATTTACACTGCGGTTAAAGTAAAACAATTCAAAATACAAGTTGTTATAAACATTTAGACGTACAGACCAAAGTAATTCCCAAATTACGTCCTATAGGTCCACCTGTACGTCCTTTATATACCTCCAGGACATAAAATAGAACAATGACAAACCCTGGTTTAGTACTGAAGGAAACTTTGTAAACGATTAACTGAATGTTAGACCTGGTATTGTGTTTTTATACTTTCTGATCATTGCAGCCTTAAGTTTAAAACGGAGAATGGGAGTTTGTGTGTGTTACTGATGTGTTCTCTCTGTAGCATAAACTAAAGTTGAGTATGTTAACATCTGACGTAAAAGTTACCACCTTCAGGGGTGTAACCAGGAAGAGACATACGATAAGGTCAGTTAATCATCATATGAATAGACGGTAGAAGAGGTTTTGAGTTGTGCAGAGATGCAGCCTGGAACAAAATGGGCTGTTTTTGTTTTGATTTCCTGATACGAGCTCAAGACTTTGGACTCTGAGGGCTGTGCTGTGTCCTACTGTATGGAGCTGATTGGAACAGATGAGAATAAAGATTTTAAAAAGATATCCAAGTGGGTTTCTGCTTCAGACTTTCATTTTTGAACATGTCGATCTGCACAATACCAAACTGAAGCAGCTGCACCGAGTGAAAATTGGGAAATTGTACAATTTGACAAAGAACAAACTGAGCAGAGAAATCAGAACTCCTAAAAAAGACAATTCAAATAAGCCAAGCTGTTTGTTGTCGACCAGTGAACCATCAACTACCTGTAAGTGCCTATAGAACATCACCAGATACAAAAGACCACCCCTATAGACAGTGGGTGATCGTCAACTGGTTACTGAGCTCAACACCTTCTGTTGTAGGTTTGAACAACTCTGCTCTACACAATTCAGCAGCAGTTCACATCCTCCTGAAAATCAGCCACTCAGCCAAACACCCATCCAAGCTGCCTTTAAGGATGATGTGCAAAAACTGTTTAATTTAAAAAAAGTGAGGAAAAACCACTGCCACCACTCACCATCTTTAACAAACCAGTGATGACTGTGAAGTCCTGTAAGTTCCTGGGCACAACAGTCTCCAGGGAACTGAAGTGAGACATCAATATCAGCTCAATAATCAAACAAGCTCTAACCAGCTCAGCCACCAAAGTGGACATTCACAGACTACAGTGCATGATCAGGTTAATTAAAATTATGTTAAAAGTCCTAGAATTTCACTTTCCTCTTTTTCTGGAATGAAAAAACTTTCYTTAAAGTTTCCCTAAACTCAAGATTAATTTTCTTAGTTTTACCTTTCATATAACCTGCTTTCTGTAATACCCCTCAAATAAAAAAAGTAAAAATGTAAATTGACAAACATTGTGTTCACAACAATAAATGAAAAATTTTAAATTTAATTCTTAACCAAGATAATAAATAAATACTTTATGATTATATGATGGTATTTTATTTTGAACTCTGAACAAACTCATTCAAACAAGAAAGCCGTTGAAAGCTGAACAATGTATCTTGTACTGCGGCTCCTTAAATATGGAGGCAAATGAAAGGAAGTAGGAACCAAGACACAACTTCTCTAAAACCATGCAGGTTTATTCAAAGAACTGCCTCTGCTTTTGATTGTTTTACATTACGTCAAGTTTTGTGTAAGGTCATCATCACTACAGTGAAGAACGGCTGTATTTTGAACTGTTGAAATTCACTTTGAATATATGTTTGGATTTTAGAGTTCTTGGAGGGCGGGGTCGGCCACGTGGAGATGCTCTTCAGGTGCAACTATCTGGCGTTGGTGGGAGGAGGAAAGAAACCTAAGTATCCAACTAACAAAGGTAAAGATGGAGCATTCAGAAATGATGATAGAAATTATGCTTTTTAGACCTAAAAACATCAGTGTGAAAGAAAACTAAACGGCTCCTTAAAATCATTTTTTCTAAGTATTTTGGAAATAATTTGTGAAGTGTGGCAGAAAACAAGGATCTTTCTAAAAAGCTTACAGATAGTAATGGCATGGAAGATTTAGCGTTAGCACCTGCTTTGAGTTGTTTTGTGCTGTTCTGATTTCTAGCTCATTAGTCTTTTCTACCTTGACCTTGGTTTCAGATGACAACAGACATCTTTCTAGGCCTTTCTCAGTCAGGGATGAGGCGTCAGTCTTTCCTTTTTGGTTCCAGTTCTGTTTGGGTTGGAAAAGTTTCAATGTTTGTTTACAGTTGGCTGGTGGTGATGTCTAGTTTTGATCCCTATGAGCATTGTGTGATCTGTCGTTATGGTAGGTATGGTAATGACTTTTACTTTTAGGGGACCATCTGTCCCTACGAGCATAGCTATCAGGTGACTATCTCTCCATACGATATAAACAATCAGGTGAACACTTTTGGCTTCAACAGTAGCGGTCGGGCGACCACCTTTCTTTACGAGGGTCTCGATCAGGGGAACACTTACTTTGCCCTGGTTCACTGTTGGGGTTCTTAGGTCCCTTTTTGGGCCAGTTCTCATTTTTATGTTGGTTTTGGTTGCCTGATTTGTGACGTGCCCCAAAACTGTCACTGGAGTTTGCGGCCATTACGGCCCCTTCCAGTTCCAAAGAAACTAGGTTTAGTGTTGATCTGTGAGATACTAGGAGTATTTTCCTTAGGTGGATTTGTTTTGTTGAAAGCTCTGGTTGTCGGTTCTCTCAGCTTTGTGATAGACAGTGTGTATGAACAAACCAAGTTCAATGCTAACGGTTGGGTGGAGCTTCTGGATGAACGCTGTCTTAAAGAAAATATCATTCATCCCCACCTCATCCTTTGGCCCAGAAAATGCTCTCAGTAGGTGCCTGTAATAGCAGTTTGGAGCTTCAGACTTACCTTGTTTCACAGTCATTGCCTTTGTGGTTTTGCATGGCTCTCATATTGTAACAACAAGGCCTGACTGAGACAAAAATGTTTTGTGTCTCAGTTAGCAGACATTTGAAAAAAATGTTTGAACTGCTTACCACAAGACAGTTATACCAGGTAGAACTTATGCATATCAAGAATACTGGAGTCATTGCCAGATTAAGGTCCATTTTCTGTAAGTACGTACCAGTTCCACCAGCTGACAGTTCAAAACGTTGGATGCTTTTACCAATTTTTCATAGGTCAGGCACTGTAAGCTCTTTGTTTCTCACAGGTTGAACTCTGCAGCTTTAACCACCTGTCTCTTTGTCAAGATTATCCTTTGAGACGTGGTTTCTGGTAGGAGACCTGTGTGACTTGTAGGGGTTATTACCCCGTGGGCATTTAGCAGTTTGTTTTGACTTACAGTTTTGTCTCTTGAACTCACAACTGCTGCCACCAGGTTCCGGCTCTGTGGGCATGTGATTTACCTGACATTTCAGGTCAGAGTCTTAGTGGCCCAGGTCAGTGGGTGTTCCCCCACCTTTTTGTCAATGGCTGAGTCGTGAGCCCCTGCCGATTAGTGCAAAGCCATCAAGTCTAGAGATTCTCGCTGTGTTCTTGTGTCTGAGAGCAGAGACCCTTGTTTTTGCAGTCTTTCATTCTCATTGATCAATCCTCTTATAATTTCAGTTTATGGACATTGTCTTGAATTTGGTTATTAATGTGTGTTTCGGCACGACCTAAGTTCTCATCTGCCAGCGTCAGCTGGTAGAAGAGTGTCACAGCAATTTATCTTATGTCTTCTAAATTGGCTTTTTCTTTTTTTTTCTGAAATGGTATCTGCCAACTCATTTATAAGTTGATTTAACTCAATCAAGCGGGCCATTTGAACTTAAACAATAAATTGCTGTTGAATTGCTTTTATTGAGACACTTGGACATCTTGTTCTCTTTGGTGAGTTTAAATGTCACTTTTTGTCTGCTTTTCTTTGAAAAATAAACAAGAGATTTATTTAGTCTTCAGCCAACGTGGAATTCTTTGCAAACTTTGATGGACAGTATCCGTTTTCTGCAGGATTACTATTAATCTGGGTTATTGGTGGATAAACACGGCTTTTAATTTTTCAGTAGTCTTTGAAAGTGTTTTTAGTCTTATGTAGGGATATGCTGTTTGTCGATGTTATGGACAACACTAACTCATAAATACCTCGTAATTATTAGCATAACAATGGGGCACCACCTGAWTKTTCAGGAAATTAATTTATAGATTTTAAATCAGTCTCAGATACTGAGTTGTGAATTCTATCATTTTCAAGAACGAAACCCAATAAATGACGCACAGACAATGAAATTTCATAATATAACCTATATTAAATGATTCAGAGGTCACAATACAACAATTATTTGGGCAGACAGAGACAATTATCATCAAACCTTAAGTTTAATAATAAACGTTAAAGTCAGTCATAATAAGCTAGTATCCTTCACCTGAATCACTTAACTAATCTACACTCACAAAGATTATAAGAAACTTGAAGGTTAATAAAAGGAAGAATTAATCTACATAAGAGGGCGTAAATTAAAGAAAGTGACCAAGTTATATGGTATAAACAATTTACGCTAATTCCAACTTTTTACATCCACAAAGAGAGCACACTCGCAGATTAAATTGAGGCTAAGCGTGGCTCACCGAAGCAGTCTCCAGACCTCTGGGGTACTTAGCGATGGTTCAGACCAACAGCCTTGTCTTACCTCTGGATGAAGGTTAGCTTTTAGACTGTCTCACAAAGTCCCATGTAGATAATCTGGCGCTCGGATAAGGGTTGGCAACCCTCTCAGCTCACGCAATCCGGCACACCTCTGCGGTTCTGTGAGGTCCTGACTTTGTGAATGAAGGTCCGTTTAGAATACTACGCAGCTTGTTTACTCCCAAACAACTCCGTCAAAGTATGAAAATAAAAAATATATATATATAAAATGAAAATAAAAATAAAATAAAATTGTTCCCTTGAGGGAAACTGGAGCTAGCTTTTAGTTCTTCATCTCTTCAACTTTCTGACCGACTGACTGACTTGCTGCTGAAACTAAACTTCTATTGTCCTGGGTCTGAAACTCATGATTGGTTGGTAATGATCACGTGACCTGTCTTTCTTTTCACAGACTGTCATCATTGGAATTGATTACAAACACACACAGAAATAAGATAGCTTGTGAAGTGATTAAAGTACATTGTTTGCATGATTGAGTCACGTAGACATACAATAATTCATGTTTTTTTTTTATATCAGAATGAGAAATACAGAAAAACATTCGTTCATGGTGTAAGTATAAAACCAGTCTTTTGGGGGCGCTGTAATACCATAAATGAGTATGAATGTAAACGAATGCTTTGATGTAGGGTAAGTAATAAAACTCAGCAAGAAATCCAGCTTCAAAGGCTTTTCTCTGCAGCAGACCCGTTCTGCCAGACATCGTGTCTGCGACGATCTTTTGAGTTCTGTATGATAAGCGGCCATTTTGAGTACATCAAAGGTTCTTAAACAGTACTCAATCACAGGAGGTCTCTGTCGCATCCTGGTGTTATCTTTACCACTTGTAGATAGTAAACAATGCTTAGAGGTAAATGATCAAATCACTATTCTCTCAGTAGGCATGAGACAGAATAATGCTTAGAGGCCAAAGTCTTGAGGTAAACAAAGTTTGGATTTGACATTCCAATCCAAGTTATTGCTACACTTATGTCAGCACTCTTGTTCCGAACGGTTTTGAAACAAACCTTCCAGTTACAGCAATTTTGAGACAAAGTTTAAGTTAATCAGTACTTGTACATGTGTGAACACATTGCTGTTATCTGTCTTGAAATAGGATCTAAATCCATATAATACACACTCTCTACAACAGTTTCCTCCATATAGAGTTTACTTCCTGCCCTCCAGTGGAAATTGCACGTCTGTGGAACCACATGATTGAAACCCAGCGATCGGTTATGTGTGATAATGCATGGATGTATTTCAATTTATTACTTGCCCTGATTTATGGCAGGGCATGTGATTCTGTTTTACGGTTGTGCTGCCCTCCTTGAGTAATGGTAATGTTGAATTACTTTCTATGGGCTTCATGTGATTTATTTTAAAAAATTGTGAAAACATTTTATTCTGTCAGGACATCTGCTGTTTATATGCTGACATTCATTAATCGCTTTATCACATAAGTCTTTAACAACCTGTTTTTAAAGTATCACTTGTGGCCCATTTTTTGTATAATTTTATCTGGTGTGCTCCTCTAGTGATGATCTGGGACGATTTGAAGAAGAAAACAGTCATTGAGATTGAGTTCTCTACTGAAGTCAAAGCAGTGAAGCTTCGGCGGGACAGGTAAACCTTCTTCTTCATCGCCACAGAAAAGACTGAGGTGCACTGTCATTCATTTGTTTATAATTCGTTGCAAAATCAATGTTGCCACGTGTTCCTGTGTAAAACAAAAGTTCTGGCTTCATCAATACAGTACATACAAGTAGCACAAACTAAAACCGATGTCAGTACTTTGTTTTAACATCAGATGTGGAGACGGTTTACTTAATACCCTTGAATGCTGAATCCACTTTGGGTCATGTTGTTATTTTTCATCAGGATTGTGGTTGTCCTGGACTCAATGATTAAAGTGTTCACCTTTACTCACAATCCCCATCAGCTGCATGTGTTTGAGACCTCCTATAACCCCAAAGGTCAGTGCAAACTAGAGAGGAGACTCTAGGTTAGTTATCTTAACAACTGTCAGAATGGATTTTGTTTATAGCCATTTAAACAGTTAAAGTTGTATATTTGGGTGTTGTTTAATAAGAGATGTTTGGTACCCTAATGTCCCTTTGTCTGTTTCAGGTCTGTGTGTCCTGTGTCCCAACAGCAACAACTCTCTGCTGGCATTCCCAGGAACTCATTCCGGCCATGTGCAGATTGTAGACCTGGCCAACACAGAGAAACCTCCCGTTGACATCCCTGCCCATGAGGGGTCCCTGTGCTGCATTGCACTCAACCTGCAGGGCACGAGAATAGCCACGTCATCAGAAAAAGTACAGGAAGTCCTTGTTAGGCCTCAAACGCCTCCCTTGCTTTGTAATCCGTGACTAATTAGGTATTGTGTTTCCATAGGGAACGCTGATCCGAATTTTCGATACCTCTGCAGGCCAGCTCATCCAGGAGCTGAGGCGAGGCTCACAGGCAGCCAACATCTACTGGTAAGGGGTGGGATCAAGCAGAAACACTCGTCACAGTTTACCTCGTTACTTTACAGCAGCTGTCCTTTTGCTCAACAGAAATATAAAGACATCACGCCACCTGTTTGTTTCCTCTGTGAAATAAATTAGATTTAATTATTTTTTTAAACATATAACTTTTTGTAGAAAATTTTATGTTGGTGTTGAGATTATTGCACAAAGCTATTTTTTGACTCACAGTGCTTCACTCCCTCAAACCTGTTCAAAAC